TTCTAGTAAATGCTTTTGCTAAGGTTAAAAAAATTATCATAGCCCAGTCGTCTTCTTTATGCTGATATCGTGTTCCATGCTTAGGCTGTACACAAAGTATTCGCCAATCCTGTATTCTTCAGGTCTCCTGTTTATTAGATTTTTTCAGTCAGGAGTTCGATGGCTTCTCGTATCATGTGTTTTCCTGTATTATCATCATATAAAGCCTGCCTTTCTGTCGATTTCCACTCGATTTTGTTTTCCGCCATTTCGGATTGTTCAGTATCCGTGTTTTAACAAAGTCAATAGTGTTGCTTGATTCGTAGGCTGATTTTTCCTCCTATTTCACCAATTTACTTCTGCTCATAGTTGTTTAAAATTGTTTGGCCTTATTTTCGCAACTTGGTCATATTGGTATGAATACTTAGAGGGACGCAAATAGTCCGGAGTCCATTGCTTGAATGATAATTTCCAAAGTCGGACCGTGGACGTGGTACAATCCCAGACGTTTCGCTAAATTAAATAAAGTCCCTGTAGAGTTTGTAACAGGTGGGCCGAAGATCAGAGGAAATGTCCATAGTATTAACGGTAAAAATGAGCTTTCAGAGTTTTGTTATTGTGGTCACTTCTTAATTGCTTAGTTATATCAAAATTATTAGTTGAGCTTGCTTTAGCTCTGAAAAATACAGAAACTTAATGTAATTCAATTAAAGTCTTCAACATGATATGTGCGAGCTAAACAAACGAAATGACAATTTCTCCTGATTTTTTTAATAAGAAACTTCCCAAACGAGAAAGAGATTGGACGTATGCTTAAAAGAAATAAGCCTCCTTTCAGAATAATTAAGCCTCATAGGACGAAAGGAATGATAAATAAATATGCATAAATAGTAACGCAAAATAAAGTTTCATAATTAAATCAGTAGATCGAAATTGGGAACACAATTATATGGCTTATATATATATGATAGACATATGGCCTCATAGTGAGAAAAAGGATGATGAGAAAAATAGTTAGATATAAATAAAATGAAGATATATGAGTTCTTTAGAATTCCTAATCAAAGGTTTAATTAACAAAAAAAAATTTGAAAGACAAAATAAATGCATATAAATTAATTTTTGCGAATTTTAGCAGAAATAATGCACCTAGCTTAAGAGAAACCACAAAGCGCGACCCTAATTTGAGTGACTTGTTAGCATGAGATATAAACAAGTATCGTGCAAAATGAAGAACAAGCATTAAGAAATACAAAATTATATTGAAAACAGTAGAGAACAACTTACCGAATCTGTTTACACTAAGTTTGCCTGTTTTCTCGATCTTATCGTTGTGGTGCGATGTACGTCTGCAAAGGGAAGATAGGCTAAAAGGAATAAACTTCCGTAGTGCGCCCTTATTCACATGTTCGGCTTGCTTTATCAACGGCAAAGAGCCGCCCTTGTTGGTATCGTGGTTGAATTGCTTAGTATAAGCCTATAATTATAAATAAAATGATAAAAATTAGTTTAGACAAGAGCGGAGAAAGAAGCCATGTTGCAACATCTGTACACAGAGAAGGCCATATTGAAATTTTAAATAGACAAAAAATTTTGGGTCGTTTTTATTCGCTAAAAAGTCTAGACATTGAAAATTGCTTAATAATAATAAATAAATCCTATGAGAATAAAACTTTAAGAAAGCAGCATAATAAGCCTGCGCATAACTGTGTATTCTGGTAATGTACGGATTAGTGGAATAAATATATTCATGCATATGAAGCAATAACAAGACATCTGCTTGATAAAAAGACACGAAAATTAGGCAGTCGTGAATCGGCCGTAGTGCTCAATGTGTCGAGGACCATGCTGCCGTACTCAAGTTCGAGTTCAACTATGGGTGCTTAAAAGATCTAGGCGAGGTGGAACAGTCATCCAGCCTGGATAAAATCAAATTTTGGGAAGCAAGGCCATGGAAAATTTAACAATAGGCCTACTCATATCACTGTGGGAAAATCCAACTACCAGTCATTCGTGAAATAGGATGAATACAGCTCTTATATCAGATCTACTTGTCGTTTAGAAAACCCACCCATAGACCCAAAATTTTTACTGACCTTATTTTATCTCCCCTTAAGTCGATCATTTAAAAAATTAATCGAGTTATTGAGATAGCAAGAAGCTGGTTGCTCCTAATCAAGAGATTCTTTATTTAATGTACGTAAGCTAGTCATTGCAAGTTGACGTGATGAGAATTACTAATGTTCGATACAATCAAAATGATTAATTAAATGTTGGTCGTAAATGTGCACCGCGAAAAGTAAGAGTAACTGGATGGATTAAAGCATATAACATGATGATAAAATTTACCAACTCTCCAGCTTTGGGAAGTACAATCCGACAAGGGCTCTTCTGTGTTAAATCAGGAGCCTCGGCTGTCTTGTTTACGAAAGGTGGGCAATTGTCTTGTGTCTGGCCACAAGAAGTATGAGGCTCTAGCGCTGTGGAAAAAGTTGTGGCCGAACCGACCATGGTATATTGGCCGTTACCACTCGATGATGCCTTTTGAGATTCAGAAAATAAAAGCCTATTTGTTTCGGGTAAATTAGCGCCCTGATCTTCATCCAACTGATTTGCCCATGCAGCTACTAGTGAAGGGCCATCTTCATCAATGACGCTGGCAGTCCTATCCGAACCGCAAGAAATCCGAGCAGAAGCCATTTCGTCTGGACATCGAGGGGAGATAACCTTTAGTTTGGGGTCTTTCCCTTGATCATCATCATCATTCTCGCAATCATCGTAACCATCCTGGCCGCTTTGGCAGCTG